TAATAAAAATTGGGCCTGTGCCATATTATTCATCCCACAGTTTTCATGAAAATGGCATTGGTATCATAGAATGCGGTCAATGATTACATAAAATGTATAGCTAACATTTGAAGCAGTTTTTGAGAAACCGCCGAGAAATTATTCGTAGAAAATTCTCACGATTTTATTCGAAATTACGCGAAAACTATTATTATTTTGAAACTAGTGATACAATTGCATATACTTATTCATATTTCTAAATTTGCAATATTCGGAAATGCAGAGTTCAACGAAAATGAGACCTGCGCCATTCTTTTAAGAGCTTCTTGTTACAAAATTTCAAGAAAAAATATAGTGGTATTTGACAATATATATTATAAATTATTTGAATTAACTTCAAGCTGAAATTACTCCAAAACATCTGCTCGTCTAAAAAATGTACATGGTCTTTTTTAAAGTTGTGATTTTTTAGAACATTTTGTTTAAGACAAAAATATCTGTCTTCAATGTTCTTTCGCAATATTAACGTTTTGGAATTTAAAAAAAATAATGTTTGCTGGAAATGGTACTATAACCAACATAGTCTTTTGATACATTTGGAGAGAAAATTTAAAGAAAAAATTTTGAGAGTTTTTGAGAAAATAATTGTTTAAAAATTGTGTAAATTCCACGCTAAATTAGGCGAAAACTACTCATATTTTCGAAAAAAAATTTACATGACGTTATTTCAAGAAGTCTTTAAACATATTTAATTAGAGAAAAAAATCTCCATCTTCAATACTGAAGTTGTAGGAAGACGGTGAAAACAAAATTAAACTTTTGAAAAGTTCGAAAAATAGGTTTCAACGAAAACGAGATCTGTACCATTCTTATAAGTTGCACCTACGTTATCACAGGGCAAAAGTTAATCCAAGCCATTTTGCCAATTTTGAAACTAAATGAGGGTTTCATGTAAAGTACTCGCCAAAATAAAAATGTGTTTCAAACTTGTAGGACTGCGACTCCATTAAAATCGATCGAGGAATATAAATTCGACTGAACGGTTTTGACACCAGCAATGACCATGGACTGACAGACGGACTGACAGTTCTGTCTAAAATTTCCTTTTTTAGTCGCACGAATTTAATATCTTTTTACGAAATAAGGTCGAGATAGTGAAAATAATGATGATTATGATAATAATAATAATAATAATAATAATAATAATAATAATAATAATAATAATAATATAAAAATAATAATTTGTGACATAAATACAGCATACGCCATGTATGACAGATCAGGCTATGTATATAATCATACAATTTACAATACAGGTATTTCTAAAAATTAAATGCAAGACTTAAATTAAAATTCAAATCAATTCTCGTTCTAATACAATATACTGGAATGTTTACTCATTTTATAGATGGTAGTGTAAGAAGATTGAAATTAAAGAACATAATTTTTTTTTAAAAAAAGAAGGGAAAAAAAGTCTTCATAGGACATTCGTGCGTGAGCTGGGTCCGTCTTTTATATCCAACAACCAGTTTGGAAGCGGGGGGGGTCAAAAGTTGCAAAAAGTATTGGTACTAATTTATACTCGTATTGGTGTAGAATGCGTTCATGATATAAATATTCTTTTGTACTGTAGAATCTATGGTTTAATAGGAAATCTTTCAGTTTATTTTTTGAATGTGTGTATAGAGTTAAAGCTTTTAAATTCGCTAGGGAGTTTGTTATGTAGTGTAATGCCTTCTATAAGGATACTTTTTTGAAAGAGTGAAGTTTCACTGTGTGAGTCATGCAAAGTTCTTTCTTGTCTAGTATCATAGTTATGAACATCTGTGTTTAGAGAAACAGAATTCTTGTTTCCCATAAGTATCTTCTTTGTGAAGATTAATATTTCAAATATGTGCATGCTTGGCAGTTATAGTACATGTAATTTTTTGAACAGTGGTTTGCAGGACTCATGTTTGTGACCGTCATTGTTCTCAGTATTCGTTTTTGGATGATAAAAGTGTGAATACTTTCTGGGGAATTTCCCAAAAATATTAATCTGTATTTCAGGCGTGAGTGAACATTTGTAAAGTACATAATTTGCAGTGTATCTAAGTTAGAAATTGACTTAACATGACTTGGTAAGCTAGTTGTTTAGATCTGTGATATGGGAGTTCCATTTTAGATCATCTTGTATCGTCAATTCAAGGAATCTTGTTTTTTGGGCTATTTTTACAGGCGTGTTTTTTTTTATCAGCAATTGTGCTGGAGGCCTTCTTTTAGAGTGAGAGTTCCGAAAGTGTAGAGAGACAGTTTTCCTGGTGTTTATGATGAGTTAATTTTCTCGGAACCATTTTACTAGTGCCTCTAGGACTGTTGTGCTTCTTTTTGTTGAGTTTGGCGGATATTTGCTTTAATACACACACATACATACACATTAAATTAATTCATTCACTGTAACTCTCTAAATAACATATATATAAATTCTGCATATTTATATAATTTAGTGTGTTGCAGTGAATTAATTTTTCTCCAATTTCTGAGAAATATCTATTGAATGCGTTTGTAAATGCTTGTGGGTTTCGCAGACAATTATTTTTGTAGTCACGTTCAATGCTGTTAGTGTTTTTGTTTTTAGAGTATTTTTCACAATATTCCTTTGGCAATACATTGATCATTCATTAACAGTTTGGCCTGTTCAATTAATTTCTTCAAGTTATTTTTGTACGTTTTGTAATAAGCAATGAAATCAGAACTACATTCGTGGTGAAGGATTGTTTTATGCATGATTTGTTTCCTTTCACATTATATTCGGTTTCCTCTTGTTATCCATGATTTGTGGTTTTTACTTTTTATTTTCTTCAGTGTTTGTGGGAAAACAGTGTTGAAATAACTTTGGAATATGTTTATGAATAAGTTAAAATTGGTATTCGTGTCTGTTTCTTCGTACACTCCTGCCAGGTTTCTGAACTTATTAAAGAGAGAAATCTGTCAAAGTTTTCCTGAGAGAAGTTTCGGCTTTCTCTTTAAAGTGTTTTCTTAATAACTTTTGTGTCCATTTTGAGTTTGAGTATTTGCACTGTATGGTCACTAAACCCTGTGTTATGTGTAACAACTGAATAGCTGCAATTATGGGTTAATAGTATTTGATCAATGACGGTACTGCTTTTTTTTAGATATTCTGGTAGGTTGATTTATAATAGTTTGTAAGTTAAAAGATTTAAGTAAATTTTTGAATAGTTTCTTTTCATTTGATTTTGACAAGAAGTTTATATTGAAATCACCACTTAATATAATTTTATAGTTTCTGCATCTTTAAGTTTAACAAGTACAATTTCAAGATTTTTAAAAAAAAACATTTGTATTTCCTGTGGGATTGTATTACTTGCATAAAATCCATACTCTTGGTTTTGGTATGTCTATAATAGATATTTCAAAGTTTTTATCTTTTAAGAGAGAAGAGTAATCTGTGATTGATACGCAATGAATATTATTTTTAACAAAGATGCAAGTACCAATAAAGAGGGAATATCTAGTGGATGATGGTCTTGTGGTACTCGCTTCTCAGAATTGACCAGATGGGTAATTTCAGGGTAGAGCGTATCCATATATTTGATTACTGCTGCTTTGTGGACTGAACAATAGTGTTTTATTTGTAGGTGGCTCATGACCTGTATGCTTTGTGGTGAACATCATAACATTGCTTATGTTTCTTCCAAGTTTATCGTACGGGATGTTGAAATACAATTTCGGTTTCAAGACTCCAACAAATGTATACTTAGTGTCTAGGAGAATATCTTTCAAGACTTGAATCATAGAGCAGATTTTACTGTTTTATAGCATCAATTAGTGCATCTGAACACCATTTACAAAATTTTGTGGAATCTGAAAATAATTATTAAGTAAAGTGTGTGAGTACAAGTACACACACCCCACAAACAAACGCACACACTCGTAGTTGCACATGCAAATATCTCATACATTCTACACCCGTACACAGCAGCCAAACAAATGCGTACCCACGCACCATACAAAAGCAATATCAATACTCCTAGCATTAAGTCATTGTACTTTAGGTAGGTCTGCGTGTCTTAAGCTGTATGACTTTTTTTTTTTCTTACTGATTCTAACTCAAAGGTTGGTTAGTTGTGGTTAAAAAAAAAAAGTTTTATGAAGTCCAAAAATTCAAATATATTATGGCGTACTGATAATCACCAGTATATTATTTAGTTATTGGGGTTTGTTTAGGATTCTGTTAGGCCTTTACTGCAAGGCAATGGCAAATCACAATCATTTTGAGGACGCAATTGTTTATTTATTGATGGGGATCTGTTAAGCACATCCAAATATTTATAACTACAATTTTACAAGCAACTTACAATTTTTTAATGATAAGGAAATCCAAATATGTTTTCCTGCGAGCTTTTCCAGCATTGAGCTTGCCCGTAGCACCTACTTTGGTGAAAATATTCGTGATGTATTTTGACCTTTTCTGACAATTTATTTTTTGTAATATGCATTAACATTTATTAATTTAAATCATTTGATTATTTATTCTCTGGAAAGGAATGAGGAAAGTGAGTGTAACAAAACCACGGGTGGATCCGGTGAAGATATGAGGATTGGGGACATTTTGCAAAACTCAAAATGTCATAGTAAAATTGCGACTCTTTTTTAAACTATTTAATTGTATAAGTATATCTTATTTCTGTACAATTTATTATGAATTTTCACTACTTCACAATTAAGCATTTATTTACTAGTACTTATCTTTTAAAAACTGAATAGTCTTTGGAGAATTTCTCTAATCTTCCCGTATGGGATCTTCCTTTGAAAACAGCATTCAATCACTTCTGTTCAGTATGTACTAAAATTTTTTGTAGATGAAGTGGCGTGATGTTGGTAACATGGTCTCTAAGCTTTGAGTGAACTTGGAGACTTTTGCATTTCATTTACTAAATTTGTGTTTTCTTTGTTTAATTTTAATGCAATATAATGTTCTCAAATTGTAATTTATATTTTTAATCCTTCTATTTGCCTAGGCATGTCTGTCTTCGAAATGCTGGAAAACTTACAACAAAAGGCCTACGAGTTTTGAAAGGCCATAAAATATGCACACTGGAAGCTACTGGGTTAAAAGTGACAGTGAATGATTTAATTGGGTGCTTAGGGGAATGGACGTTACAAAATTTGAGGACTCTTAATGTTGCTCGTAGCACTTTTATGGATGGATCTAGGTAATGTACACATTATCTATTTTTTGCAGTTTCTTGTGTTTATTCATGTTTTTCTCCTTTTGTTAACCTAGAAGTATGAGACCACATTATATAAGCTCCAAAATTGATTTTTCCTTTTACAGGTATTGTGTTGTTGTTGCTCTTTCTAAACTTCGAAATCTTCAATCATTGAATGTTAGTTGTACCGAATTTAATCGTCATGGTTTAGAAATTGTTGCTGAAGATTTGCCACACCTTGAGAGCTTAGATATATCGTGTACTCGTGTGGATGACATACGTCCTCTTCGAAAGTGTAGGAATAGGCTAAAAAGCCTTACGATGTATAATTTGAAGGTAATTATTTTACAGCATTAACTGCTTTAATTTGAAATGTTGGTGAAATTTTTAAAAAATCTTTATTTCTGTCAAATTTCATTTATTTTATTAATGGTCAATAATTTAAATTCATCCTTACAGGTCTCAAGCTGTGAGAGTGTAATTCCAGTTGTCTTAGATTTACATCTGTTGAGGGTGCTAGACATGTCTGATGAGAAAGATACTCATCCATTTGAAATATTCACCCCAGTGCATTCAAAAGTGGCATACTTTCTTAAGGCCATTGACAGAGTACCTCACCTTACATCATTAGATATATCTGGTATGATATTAATTAATAATGGAATTTATGTTGTTTTTCTTGTGTAGTGATTTTCAGGCATATAGCTAAACACTGAGCATTGAGCACATTGTTATGACTGTAGGATTTCTTGTTGGGAATATAAGACAATATTTTAAAAAAATATTCTTGCTTGTCCACCTTTTATATTGAAATTAAGATTTCATTTTGACATGTAATAAACTACCTATCAGGCAGGTATGTGGCTCTTGAGGCATTCTACTAAAAAAATTATTTTCTACAAAATTCTTTAACTTTGCAATCATGTGTAATTCATTGTCATATTGAAGGATTCGTATTGGTAATAGCACAGAGAGTTGTGTACGAATTAATGCAGAAAATCAATATAAATGAACCATGTGATGCGATACAACTTATGTATGTTTATAATATTATTGATATATTTTTCAAATTTCAAATATGTTAGTTCTGTTTTTTAAAGCTGTAATAAGTTTATAAAATAATATCTAGTTGTAGTACTACCTTAAAGAATATAATGCAGGGAAATTCTGATGAAAACACTGGAATTTTTACATTTCTGTCATTATGTTATCTATCAGTATCTCGTATCCAAATACTCTGCATTCTACTTCATAGTGAATGTGATTTTGCTGTGAGGACTTGTTACATTACAGTTAAATATAGGAACTAAGTGACAATTGAAGTTCGTAGTGCCTGTTCTTGCCTGTAAAATACTGAATGGGACGTAAGAAATAAGAGGAGCACTAAAGTTCTAAAACCTTCTGACCCTTTTCTGACACAATATTTATTTCATAACATTGAAATTTCTGTTCTTAACATAGTCACCTTGCAGATGTAAACATATTTGGCAACTTTGATGCAATGATTCCTTATCTGCTGAGAAAGTATATACTATAGGGTCGGTTTTGCACACTGGTAAATCACCAATGCAGGAGCAGTTCAAATGAAAAATGAATGGCCATGCAAACTTACTAATTACTGAAAAAAGCCAAAATTAATTCACTTGGGCTGCGGTCAAGGGAGTAAGAAGTGCGAGTTCCCAGTTCGAAGCTGTTCTGAAGAAACTCCAGTTAGCCCTAAATGTGGCAGGGTGGCGACAGTTAAATATTAAATGCACATGTGATACTGGAGTTTCCTGTGGCTACAGTTCCATGTCACACATACATTGATATTCACAAAATAGACAAATTAACCACGCACTTGTGAAATTAGTATTTAAGAATTTATAACCCACAGGTGATTAGAATTTAATTACAGATGAATTGAAACCCTCCCTCTGGTTTACAAATTCTCAGCGTCATCATTTCTAGAAAATAGCAAGAGTAATTTACTAATATTAGTCCATTGTCACTGATAGAACTGTGACTATTATAATGGATATAGTGGTTATAAATAAAAAAATAAAAATGTAAGAATCATTGATATTGTTGCTCATTAATGAAACTTCAAAAATACAATAAGAAGATAGAAGAAATATCAAATTTCCATGAAAATCCAATATAACAGCTACTTAGGGAAGGTTGGAATATGGCCAATTTCAGTGTCAGCATGTGTGTGTGGCTGTGTGTGTGTGTGTGTGTGTGTGTGGGTGGCTGTGTGTGTGTGTATGTGTATATGTGTGTGTATGTGTATATGTGTGTGTATGTGTATATGTGTGTGTATGTGTATATGTGTGTGTATGTGTGTGTGTGTATGTGTGTGTGTATGTGTGTGTATGTGTGTGTATGTGTGTGTGTATGTGTGTGTGTGTATGTGTGTATGTATGTGTGTATGTGTGTGTGTATGTGCGAGAACGCGCCGGAGCCAGTATTTACTTGGCTGTCCGGGTGACGCCGCGGTGCTTTGGCACCTTTGCCATGGACGCGGCGTCACCCGGACAGCCAAGTAAATAGTGTGAGTGCGCGTGCGCGTGTGAGAGAGGCGTGCGTGTGAAGTGTGTGTGCGCGCTCAGCTGTGGATACAGACAATTGTAATGAAAAGCTACAGCTCTGTTTTTACCTCAAGCGGGAATCGAAACCGGGATTGCACCACAGAGAGCTAGCACGCTGTCCATGAGCAACCCAAGGGGATAATTGTTATTATCTCATTTAAAAATCTCATTTCGGTATGTCCAGTAAGATGGCTACTCCCTAAAGAAAAATCTAAGATCGGGCTTCGCAGCTCAAGACGACTTCTAAGAGCAGCAAGATCGAGCTTCGTTAATTTGATAGAACATGTAATCATTACACACGGCGAGATTGTTTAGACATTACTCAGAACGCCGTAGCAGAGAATTCACAGCACAATGTGATTATAAACCCCATCACGAAAAAGGAATTCAAAACCTAGTCCGACCATCAGTTAAGTTTTAATAAACAAGATCTTGCCTGTATAAAACTCACCCAAATGTTGAGTAAACATCCTAGCGGTTTCCAGAGTGCATCAAGGTATAAAAGGGGAGAGAGGTAAAAATCGTAATATCGCGATCTCCATGTAGAGAATCTAAAAATGGTGGGTCACGGTTGCGTCCTAATCGTAGATATTAAAAGCGAGGCCTTCTTGTGGAACGTTATCTTGTAAAAGCGATATTTAAAATATCGATTTATGATAACAGATCTGAAGTGCCAAAATTGAAAATGGGTGATTCGTTGGGAATGTCTGAGAAATGCCTTAATGCAACGTGGTGGTGCTTACACAAGCTACAGGCGTGCAGGAAACACTCGTGAGGCACTGTATTATAGGCCTACTGCCTACCAAGCAACCATGCCGAGTAACCTACTGTCTGCAGTGCCAGTTCACAATGACTGAAATCTCGTGATTTAAGTGCCTGAATAAAATTTAAATAGTATGTGGTATCATATAATGCACGTCAAACAATTAAAGTAGCATCTTGGTGCATTCGAATAGGCGGTAATGTAAAGGGCGCATAGGCGGTAATGTAAAGGGGTATTCTCCGAGGCATGAGCATACTCTCCTTGATATGTTCCATCATGACCTTCAAAGGTCCAATTTCTTTTGCTTTTGTCGTTTGCAGAGGACTCAGTGAAGTCAAGGAACTTTGGCCAGCACAGATTCTGATGTAAAAGAGGTAGGGTCGCACATTAGTATGGAAACTTTCAAAATAGCAGTGAGAGGACAATGTATATTCGGAAGGCTGTATGTATGGCATCGACAATGTATTAGTTTGGGTATACTCTGGAGTGTTAGTTTTCTTTCGAATATTTGTAATATGAACAATGAATAACTATTGGCAATTGTACATTTCTTTTTGAACATAAATTGACTCTTAAAATGTTTGTATAATTGAATAAAAGTCTCTTAATAAAATACCAGTCCGTTTGTAACGCCAAATCCGCAGTTATCTCATGAAGTTGGCTCACTGCTCACCTCTCTGGTCAGTGGCCCACGGAGATGCCACTGCTTGCGCGAAAGCAATCTGAAGGCTATTCATGTGTTCCTTCGTCTTACCTGCAATGGATCCGATATTTCTCCAGGTCTTTGTGATGGTACGCTATCATCAAAGAGCTACGAATACTCCCTGCCACCCTCCGCTGGAAGCTAATCCTTTGTTGACGCCTATGTTTTACCATTGTCGCACCTGGGTTAACCTATCAGTTTGGAGGTAACTACAAGGCTTAATCGCCTGATACCTAGTAGGGATGAGTGATTACTCTAAGCGCAAGTTTCCTTAATATTCCACAGAGGCGCGGGGAGAGGAGGGCTCTGGCAAGGTCACGGCTTAAAAAGGCGCACCAACTATGGGCATGATCTTAACTCGGCAAAGTGTCCACGAGAAATACTACGATTGTTTTGAAAGTACGAGGTGGTTGTTGACTGCATTGTAAATTGGTACGTGCCGTTCCGAGTCGAACTTAAGTATCTCAACGTGCCGTGCTATTCAGCACTGAGTGAGGACTAGGGAGATCGAACTTGCGCGAGTAATAGTAGGGAGGGTGCTTCCTCGAACGTTAAAGCACTATCGATTTGCGCATGCGCAGTTCAAGTTCCTCATCACTAGTGCATCAGCGCATGCGCAGATGATCAATAGTGCTAACACTATGGCGTGCAACTCACTATTAAAAAAACAGTACATTAATATCCATTCGAATAATATGCATCCATTTATCGTTGTGAATTGGTCGAATATTATGATAATGATACAAATGAAACAAATATGTACATTTGTGGTTTCTGAAATTTCCTCATTGAATTCTCAAGCAGTGGCAGCTCATGTTGTTGAAGCACATGTGCACTACCACTACAATTTCAATAAGAACAAAAAATGCTATTTAAATACTTATGTTGGTTTATTATTGTTATCCATCAGCCCATGGAGCACATGGAATTTCAGAAACCTACTTTAAAGGGAATTTGATGGAAGAAACAAATCCTCAAAACTTTCATGGACATATAATTGAAATGCATCACATGACTCAAAATATAACGGCAGTGTTATGAGAATAAACCATGGCATTAAGAATCTGTAGAAGTGTTACATGTACTGAGAAGCTGAAGAGAATTTTACAGACAACTGAAGTTCTTTAATTGATGACTGGATTGTTTTTCTTGCTGATCAAATAATATGCCTTGTGAAATCCTGCTAGAGTGCCTCAATAGGTCAGTGTTATCAGTTTTTGAAAGGTTCCCTATCTATCTTGTTAGATGATGAGCCATACTGTTGTTTGGTTACTGATTTGTAATTTAGGTATGTTTTGAGAATTTTTGTACTTGTGAGGACCCATTTATTAACATTTAAATTAAATGTTCCCTGGCAAATGGTAGAAACAGCAATATTGCATGGTTTATATCTCCCTTGAATTTTATAATTATGAGGTCATTTAAAGAGTCTGGTAAATTGAACCATTTTCTTATCTTGGCTAACACCATGCTCTTTGTAATACTATTTGGATACAGGCCAGGACAGGAGTGGTACATACCATTGGAAGGAAAATTTTTTCAGAGTAGCCTGTCCAGGAATGACAAATATGATTCTGTTTTGGGTTAAAGTAGGATATTAGAAAGATGACAAAAAATAAAAATAACAAATTATAAATTTTGCATTGGGTAAAGCATTTGCTCTCTCTTTGTTAAGCATATCTGTTCCTTGGCCTGTAATGTTCTAAGGATTATTGTGAATTTTCTTTGGACTATGAATACTATAATTTTTTTCGGACTAAAAATGGCTGTCACTTTGTTATGTACATCAGTTCCTTGGACTGCTGATGTCCTAGGGATGATGTCTTGATTGAAATGTTACATAGGAGTGAAAAGTCATTCTGAATTTTCTTTGGACTATACATTTTTGAGACCTGGACATAGCAATTTTTACATGCCTTTTTATGGGTAACTCCTCATTTTGTCTTTCAAAATTTTTATTAAGTAGGGTTATTTTTTTCATTGCAATTATTTACTTGTATACTATGAAACAAAACAAAAAAAAAAAAAAAATGGCACAGTGTCTGTGCGACAAAAGGAAAGTGCTAAGTGAAAATACATTAATGGCGTGGTTGTGTATTTCATGTCAGTTTTAAAACAGAATTGTGAATAAACAAATATTAAACTCCACTAAAAACGTGTTTAACTAAATACTGTGACTGGAGATTTTCGTTTGCTTTATAAATTATAATTATAAATTGTGAGTTGCAGAGCTGCTAAATTTATTATCAATTATAGTTTTAAATGTTTAAATTACTTTTTATTCAGAAAAGTTTTGAGTTGAAAATATGTAAAATAAAAAAAAATCATAGTGGGCTATTTTGACTTGTTTTATTGTTTGTTGCTTATGAACACAGTAGCTAGACTGCTAGATACATGGAATTATTTATTACCGTTATTTTCCTTGCCATTCATGTGTAATTGTGCCTGCTGCATAAAATAATTGATAAGTGTGAAAGATAATCAAAATTAGTAATATTAGTGCCACTTCCATAAGTATTATTTAGAGTTTTTATTGTTGATTTCAGTGAACCGAACATATGCTTATATTGCTTATTTTTTGTATTTGGCATGCTGAAATCAAAAATAAAAACTTTAGGTAATCGAAATGTTGCTAATTAATTCTTACTAAAAAATTCATTAGTATATGCACTAGCAATTATTAAAATATTTATTACTTCAGAAAGATTTAGGTATTTCTTGGAGCATTAGTTTTGCTACTGATCTTATTAGTTAAATTCCTCTTCTACATTTCTAGGAAAGGATGATATAAATGCAACTGAATTACGTTCATTTCTTCAACATCATAAGGAACTGTGTTTCTTGGGTCTCATTGATTCAGATGTATGTTATGATGAAAGTTTTACCAACCCAAGACATCCAGATTACAATGACCAACTAGTGGTAAGTGCTTGTATGAATAGTTAAATCTTTGTATTTAAGTATTCATTCACTCTTGTAGTAAATAATATAGCCAAAAACATGGTGATTTATTTGTTAATTGACATGATTTCTTTTGATCCTTAATCTTGAAGTTGTATTTATGTACTTGATAATCGTTGTATTTTTTGGTGCAAGAAAAGTTTGCTTTAATACTAGAAATAAATATAATATATTTTGTTGTGTCCATCTCAATAAAGGTCACTGGCACAGCCACAGAAGCTCAGATATTGGAAGCTTTACGCCGTTATTCTCATAGACCACAGTATGTTCAGAAGTGCCTGTACAATCTCTTCCGCCTAACACCAATTTTCAGTGATGCTCGAGTTGATGTTATTGAGGTGAATATTGATTCTCCATTTTAATGTTCCATTGCATATTATATATTGTATATGTGACAATTTATTAATGGCAATATTACTTACATCCAACTCCACTCCACTCCACCCAATTTTAATTTCAGTATTGTGATTTAATTGCTTACATTAATCCATATCCAGCAAAATTTAGCTCTTGTTTATTCCATTAACATCAGTGATTTTGACCAATTATGAATTTAAAAATTGTACCAATAAATAAATAGTTATAAGATTAGTTATTATAGTTACAAGATTTAAAATTCAGTGAAAAAACTTGCTTGGGTTAAAATCTTAATTGCAAAAATTATTTTTAAGTGATATTGTGTTTTGTGTATGTTTTCAAACATTAATACCAAGTGGTATATTGTGTAATGAAAGACTAATTTTATGCAGTTGGTGCTTCCTGGAATGATGCTTCATACTCAACAATTTGGTGTGCAAATGGCAGCTACAGCTTGTTTGTACAATCTTACAAAAGGTGATCTGGCATATAAAATACATCCAAAGATTTTAAAACGTGTTGTTGAATTAACTCTCACTGCCATGGAGACATTCCCTAATCATTATCAGGTTTGTAGAATGTTCTTTAGGTTTTGCTTTTTCACTGTCTTTTTGTTATTTTGCTAGACACTAAAATTTTCTGTTTCAGCTCCAAAAAAATACACTTCTTACTCTATGTAGTGATCGAATTTTGCAAGATGTGGCTTTTGACAAATATCGGTGTGCTCGTCTGGTAATGAACTGTTTATGTGCCTTTGAAGATGCTTCTATGAATCGAATGAGTGTTGCCATCTGTAGTATTTTAGGTAAGATTTCACTGTAATTTTTATGTGCATTACTGTTAATTCCAGAGGGTTGAAATAAATTGTTAGCATCCTCTTTATTCAAAATTAGGCATTCGAATCCTTGCCAGAACTGTCGCTGTTGATCAGAATAAGTAGTGCTGGTAGAACTTTCTTTTAAGCGATTTAAGCAGTTCCCAACTTTGTTAGGTGTGGTCCTTCAGAAGAGTGTTAGTTTAGTTACATTTTGTTTTCTTTTAGAAGTAAATTCAATTTTTGCTCCATCTTATTTACTGTGTTATTGATTTATTATGCAATATTTGTTCACAGCTGCCAAAATATCAACAAGTGAAACATCAATGTTGGGTTCACAACCTCAGTACATGAAGAAATTATTAGCAATTGTTAAAAGTAAAGTACTGACAAAAAGTGTAGATATCACAATAAAATTCACACTCAGTGCATTATGGAATCTCACAGGTATTCATTTATATAATTTTGGAGACCTATTAGGAATTAGATGTAAATAATAATAATAATAATAATTATTATAATAATTATTATTATTATAATTGGTATTTTAAAAAAATTGTCTTTGTGAAAAGGCTCAGGCTAAGTAAAATGTACATCAAATTTTTAGAGTTTAAGAATCTTAAAAAGGCTCATGTCGCTTGAAAAGTTGCAGTAAAATATGGCTTGATGAAGTAGTCCATTAATAATTAATTTAAATTTCAACAAAAGTTTCATTGAAAATTTAATGCCATGAGAATAATGAACATGACACTGATGAAGGTGAACAATTCTGAAATATAATTGGGGGGTGGATTTGTGCACAAAGTAAACTTCTGGAATACAATTTTCTGTCATAATTTGAGTTAAGTCTCATTATTTGTGAATAGCACCCTTTTCTATTCTAGATTGCAGGAACTGCAGTAAAACCTCATTATAAAAGAATGCATGTATGTGAATTATGCTTGTTAGAAACAAATTGGACTTTTCCAAAGGATAAATTACAAGCAGTATCTTCCGACATGTACGAGACCCAATCTTGGTAGAATGTTGATTTCAGAGGAACTTATTTCCCACAAATAAGAGTCAAAAGTCAAAATGACATGTTCCCATGTGACAAACAGAATGACTTATTAGTTTTACTCTCAAGCATGGTTGACAAAGACTGCGTAAGAGATCTCTGTCCACAGAAATAGCCTTCCAGAAATAACCCTGGCTCATTTATGAAAAAACAATAGACTTTAGCTCAGAGCCAGCATTGCTTCTGACTGCAGTGGACTGAGAGGTCATAAGGTTGGAGTCGTGATGGTGGCAGATTTTTTGACAATACCTACGTAGCTAGGTCAATTTCCGCTGCTGTCTGAAGGAGAATTCTAGTGGCCAGCTGCTCTGATCGGTAGTTTTCCTTGGTTACTTCGATCAATGCTGGAGCAATATATTGATGTCACTGCAGTGCCTGTGACTGAGAGGTCCTAGGTTCAATTCATACCAGTGCCATGAATTACAACACTTGCTAGACAGCTTAGTCAAATTCAGTCACTGTGTAGAGGAGAATTCTAGCAGCTGGCTGCTCTGATCAGTAGTTTTCCATGGTTTTTCTGATCAATGCCATGCAAATTCTGGAGCACTACACTAACAAACACACCACGGACCATGTGCGACCTTTCCTTCCCTGCCTTGTCCCTTACTTACATGCAATTACACTTACATGCACTACATTTTATGAGATCGTTCGGGAGCTTAGAGCTTGTCCCGGCTGCGTTGGTTCTCCAATGATGAAAGATACCTGGTTGAGGGAAACCCTGTAAGCCGGCAGCAGGTTGGCGCCAGATCTCACCATCCAGCCGGAAAAGATCTCCGCCACCTCCTGTGATAAAAACAGACATTACACTTAAGGGACTAATGACGTTAGCTGTTGACATGCCCGGAATCACTTATTGATCAATCCAAAGAAAATAACTGGGATGGTGCCCTCATGGGGGGAGATATCTGGAAAGGGTCCCGCAGACATGTAGACAGGTTCTGGATATTACCAGTGGAGGAGGAATACTGCCACTTCCTAAGATAAAACATTCACTCCTCTAATAGGATTAATGACCATAACAGTGCCTGGAAATATCAATCTGCGAAAGGTAAAAACCTGCCGCCACTCTCCCAGTATGTGGAAAGCACCAAGGTCTTCATCAAAAACTATTTTTTGCGAGTTTTGATCATGTTTCAACTAGTGAGAACAGTGTGAGTTGTGCAGTATTTGACAAGGCATCAGCTCATATCATCTTCATGCGTATTATACTTGGTATTGAGCTTTTCACCACAAGAATGATGTTGATTGTGTGGAGCAAAATGTTTAATTTGTGTGGGAGGTGACATCTCAATTTAGATGTACTTTGAGAATTCCAATTGAGATGGCTCTGAAGAGGAAGTTAAGGTCAATATTGGATAAACTTAAAATAATGTCATATGTGAATTTAGGAACAGGAAAAATGTATGACAACCTTGGGTAAAGATATATGAACTTTTAATAGACTTTCCCATTTCTACGAGTTTCTGCGTATGAAACAAAAACATGCCCCAATGTCTTATAAAGGGGTGTAACTTTGTACTAATCTGCATTTTTGCTTGAAATCACTTTGCTAGCAGTGAATTTTCTGCTCCATTATACTATAATGAGTGATACATCACATTTTAATGTAATTTAATGGAATTGTATGCAGCATATTAATTGTACATGTGTGAAAATCTTCAATATTTCCCTTTTATCCTTCGCCCAGGAAGAGTATGATTTGTTTAGTCAATAGTAGTTGGCGTCACTCAATTCAGTACCTCTTATCAGGATAGTCAATTATCAATCAAGTATCAATTTCAAAGAAATGTGGTGCTGTTAAATTAAAATCTACTCTTCTCTCTTTAATTCAACTATATTTCCTGCCAGCAATGCAAAGTATATTCTAGGAAAAGGAAAAACAATTTGTGATTGTTCTCTTTGCTGACTATAAATTTTGAATGTTAGAGATTGTCAAAAAGTACAAGACAAAAAAAGTGTAAAAGAAGAAATTTTGTAATTACATGTTTTATTATGTTGGTTTATATTATTTTTTCATATTGGTATTATAAATTTCTTATTTTCACATTGTTATAGATGAATCTCCAACAACTTGTACTGTATTTTTGGAGGAAGGAGGAATGGCATTGTTCTTAGAAGTGTTAGAAACATTTCAAGATGAAAGTGCAGTAGAAACCAAAGTACTTGGACTTATTAATAATATTGCAGAAGTTGCACAACTCCGAAGTCGACTTATGGTGCCTGAATTTCTTACATTATTACGGTATGGATTTTAATGTATGAAATTGGTAGTAGATGTGAATTATTTATGAAAAGTTTGAAAGAAGAAAAGATTTTTATGAATGTAATAATCAATTTTCAGAAAACTGCTCCATTCTAGTCATATTGATGTTAGCTATTTCGCTGCTGGCATCATTGCTCATTTGGCTAGTGATGGTAGTGATATATGGTCTGTTACATCTGGAGTTACAAGAGAACAACTTCTTCATGAACTTGTAAGGACAATTTGGTTTATATAAGTTAATTTGTATTCATGCAAAACATTGGTATTTCTTATAGCAACAGATTCATCAAGCTGAGTATAAAAAAAACAAGAGACCTGTTAAGGGAAATCAAGACACTTAGAAAATTATGAGCTGTAACTTGAATTTTCATATGCTAATAATAATTAGTAAATTAGTATATTTACATATCAACATTGCCTACACATGGTATTTGATATATTCGGTACTTGTTAAGTTTGCTTTTGAAACTACCATACTTTTTTTGTTCTAAGACATTGACTTAGTGTTGGTATGGTATTAAATGATTAAGCCAACCAGACTTAATTTACCAGCATTTAAAGATTTATTCACACCAAAATTCAGTATTGTCCCCATGCCAAGTTCTATAAAAGTAAATTCCTGTGTAAACCATTATCATGTGTTCTGATAATGTTAGAAATGAATATACCTCAAGGATGGTGTATGTGGTGATTTTATAGAAAAGGAAATTATTCAGATATTCTAAGATCTTTCAGAATAAGATTGTTTTAGAATCTCTTATCTTCAATGCTGTAACGTTTAATTAGTCCACTCATATAGATGCTATAAAAATCTTCAATTATTTTAATATAGCACTGACTTGTAATGTATTGTAGTAATTGTATAAAAACTTTATTATAACACTTCTTTTTTAAGTGAAAAGAAAGGCCTTATTTGAAACAAACAACACTGCTATTTAAACTAACTTGTTCACAAGAATATTAATACAAATAAAGTATGACTTTATAATTGTGAAAGTCAAAAGTGTTAATGATATACATTGATATACAATTGATATACAATTATAATGAAACTTGTATCACCTTGGCAATTTATTGTTTGGCGAATACCTAGTGATGTGAAATAATAATTGTTATATTATAATGTACATTTGGAACTTGTTACATAAATAAGTATAATGTAATGGTTTTAAGTGAGGTTCTATCTAATACATGAATAATTTATTTATTAAATACATGAACAGGCAATGATAGAATTCAAATAATAAATATAACTAAGATACACAAGAGAAAGAAATAAAATTTCAATTTCATAATTAGATAAGAATAGAAAACAATACTGAAAAAGATGAAGGAAAAAAAAAGAAAGGAAATTGATAAGCGTTTGTTGTGTGCTCGCGTGTGTGCATGCATGTATGACTGGGTCGATGAGTGTGTTTGTGTGGGTGCATGCATGCATGCATGCATGCACTAGTGTGTGATTGTTTACAATGTAATTTTTAGAGTTGAAGGAAGATGTTTTATTTAGACATTTCAGACTTAAACAAAGAATAGGAAGAAAGAATAATATGAGGCATGCATGCATGTGTGTATGATTGTCATTTTTGGAAAATCACATACATACGATTATATGAATTTATTACACTTAAAAATTCATTACTATTGATATTTAAATTAATGTTATATCACATTTTAAAGCATTTCTTCTAATGTTTTATTAACATTATTTCTCAATAGGGTGAAGTTGTTACTCATTGGGAAACTCCTGATGGTGAAATGGTGGCTTACCGTTCATTCCATCCATTTTTCCCATTATTAACATGCCACGAAGCTTTCCAGGTGCAATTGTGGGCAGTTTGGGCAATTCAGCATGTTTGTACAAAGAATGGTAAGTTTGTTATTGCATTCAAGGCTACAATGGGTTTAATTAGATTTCTAATTTTAATTTAGTTTTCTTTTGAAATTCTTCCTGTTCTCCAATTTGAAATGTATAATATTTTTTCTTTAGAATTGACATTTTTAAATTAATTGTTTTTCACCTGTTTGCGTTTTGGCAATTTGAAACGCATTAACCCCATAGTCACTATGGTCCCAGTAACGTTTGTATGGTGATGAGGTGTGGTCTATCTGAGAGATAGCTTTTTCAACTTTTGGCCAAAGGTTTAAAAATTTGAAAGATTCAAATAAATGCTAAGAAAAAGCAAATTTCTAATGGTTGCCTCATTTCAGCTGTTGTTGGAGGTTGAGACATTTTCACAGCTTTGTTTGTTTTTTTTTCCATACACATTTCTTCTGCCACTTGTAAGTCTGCAGAACTAATAATTCTACATACATCATCTGTTTGTCCAACAGATGTAACTGTGTCCTTATCCATTGTCATGTATTCCCAAAATTAATTTTTTATTGTATTCAGTTGTCGAATGCACAGGATTTGTAGCGTAGATTCGTAAGCATCAAATGGTATATGTTAAAGTCTTTTGTGAGTCATAATCTTTGTGGACTCAAAACAGTGTGTAAATTGAAATGTGTTTCAAAGTAATAAAAACATAAAACATTTTCAGATTACAATAAACAATGTTTTCGTAATGTTGTATTGTCATTCCAAGCTGGATGTCATACAAATGATAACAATAGCCAAATGATAACACTAACTATGATTACATTAACCAGTATACACTGTGTGTGTGTATATTTATAAAATGTACTCTGGCTCTACAGCTTCAATAAACTATGCCCATGCCTTGGCATTCCATCCTGACAGCAATGTGGCATGTTGTACCTGGGAGATGCATTCACTTTATCTCCCAGATATATGAACTGGGATATGACTGTGAAAAGTGACTGTTTCAATTTTTTGTCCCATTCAGGAATTAAACCTGCACTATGGATAACTATAGTGTTATATGTATATTAATTCAAGCAGTATTTTTATTTGTTCTTTACTTCCAAAATCTAAAGTTCAGTTGATTGAGACTGTACTACAATTTAATGATATTAGTTTCCTGAAGGAATTGTGTAAGCAATGTGTAATGTATTTTGTTTCCTTTTCTTTTTGTCTAGCGAAAAGGTACTGCCCAATGTTGATTGAAGAAGGAGGCAATGTTATCCTGCACAATTTATGGGAATCTTCTACTGTCCACCCGAATGTCAGAAAAATCTCAGAATCCATCCTTGATGTAGTCAGACAGCATGGTGCATTTTGACGCTATGACTACACATATAACAAGAATATGTTTATGTTTTGTGAATTCCAGTCATTTTTTATGTTTTATGGTACTAGGAGTCAGTGTCCAGCCTTTTCTTCCATTTTGAGATTCACCTGTGATTATCAGAAGTTAACAGTAAAGGTATTAAGTCATTTTCAATATGTTAAGTGCATGATATTAGGAAATCATGTCTGATCCTATGTAAATAAAGAACAATAAAATTGACATTGTTGTCTCACGGTGTGTTTGGTCAGCTGCAATGATTTGATATCATCTGATAATATATAGCTCTTTAATACGTTTATCACAATTACACAATATACGCATGTTATATTGTAATACTAGATTTCACATCACGCCCAGCGATTTTACTTGTTATGAATTTGTATTATACTAATCACTGGATGTGATTTATGATCAATTGTGAATTGATTTACAAGGTCAAAGTTTTAGCGGTTATTTTACTTAATCAATTTCTAAGGACCTGTTGTGTGATGGTTCTTGCTCAAATATCCGTGGGAAGGTAAGATAGAAGGGGCTGCAAGGCCTAAATGTCAACCTAGTTATAGTTCCTCAGACTCGTATGCAGTAATACAGGCTCATAAAATTTATGGATTTTATTTTTAATCTGATTGTTTGTTAAATTATTTCGTCTTAATGGAAGTGAATCTAGTAAATGTATTTTACATAAATGTAAATCATGCAATGTGAACGCTTATTACGTGTATAATTGAAAAATCACAGAGTTTATATATTATCCATAGAATTATTATCTCATTATTCTAGATAATTTAAGATCCACCTTTCATTATCACCTAATCCTGTAAGAAATTACTGCAATTGCACAAGGCTTAAACAACTTGAGGAAATTATTAAACATACACTGTTGCAGAGAAGCATGACCAAACATTCAAGATTGTACAAGTTAACATGTGTTGACAATTTTAAAATCAATGACTTGTAATTGTCTTAATAGAAACTGTAGGCAATATCTTATTGCTTGTGAGATGCAGATCTCTTCTTAAAGTGAATATTATTCCATGAACATATTTTTTCCTCAAGGTTGAAGTGCTTTCTGCATAATTTCTATCTTCAATTTTTTTCAACGATCATAAAATCAAAAACTGTGGCACACGTTTATAGATTTCAACTATCAGACCTAAAACTATTGTTGGAAAAATCCCTTTCCATGCAACATTCCCAAAATTTTGAAAAGGAACTCAAAACTGGATATTTTTTTAAATTCTGATGTTCTATGTGTTAAACTTTATATATATATATATGTGTATGTATA